CCCTCTTTTTTTTTTTTTTTTCCTTTTCCTCTTCTGTTGATGAAATATCTTGTATGTTATTGCTCCCATTTCCTATTTCTGATATAATCTCTCTTGCTTTACAGTTATCCTTGGCAGGTTGATTTTGGAATTGATAAAGTATTATGAACTAGTTTGTAGAGAAATGAGCTGCCCACATATACTCTTTGCTTATGTAACTGCAAAAAGGGCAGGGAGGCCACATGTTCTGACCTCCTCTAACCCCACAAGAGGAAGATAGAATCACCATCAATAGCCCAAGGCCTATTCCTACAAGGCCAGACATGCTGCCTCCCTCCAGCCTTTTCACCAACCGTTCCTCCCAAAGCACCCACCACCTCTCTCCTGGGTTTGATAATACGCTGCAGTGGCCACACAGAACTCACAGATTATGGGGTTTATTAGGGAAGCACCACAGGCTACAATTCAAGTTCAGGAAAAATGCTAGGTCTCTCTCCCAGCCCACCGTCCCTCAGCCAACAGTCTCTCACAGTCTTTTTCCCAGCAGTGCTGGTCCCTCAGTGTCTCACTCAGCAATGCATGTCTCTTGCGTCTCTTTCCCAGCAACACGTGTCTCAGGAGCACGTGTCTCTTTCAGCAGTACATCTTCCTCAACCAGCAGTCAGAGAGAGTTCTGCCTCTAGGAGGCCTCCTTTTGAGCTTGGCAGAGTGGCCAAACTAGCCAATCATAGTATCAGAACTCTAAGCACCTGAGAAAGAACCTCCCATAACATTGTGTTGTGCCACACCCAACCGAAATAACCCAGGTGGATAACATTTACAATCAGGAGCTCCTCAGTTGCTCATTCCACCACTGAGTTTACAATGACTTACGGGTAGAAAAGCCATACTAATTCATTTACTGCACTGCAGTACTATATATATATATATAAGCTTTACAATTTGATATAAATGAAAGTAACAATAGAAGTCATTAGAACCCCTAAATGTACATACTTAATTTCCAAGCTTCCTTTTGAGTAACAGCAATGCACATTTAACAATAGAATAAGTGTACTGATTGTTGTCCCCATTCTCTGTCACATTCAGTTTGCCATTTCTTGACATCAGGGGGACTCAAAATTAGGAAAGAAGCATTTGATTGCAGAATATTTGTGCTAAAATTTTAAAAAATATAATAACATTTGAACTCTACTTCCATTTTTTGTACAAATTTTCATCAGCTAGAAATCTCTTCTGGTCTCTTGCTCTATTTATTTTGAAGCCCAAGAAAATTTTTTAACTAGCAATGAAAAGTAAATTTAATAAGATATTTTTTATATAATAATGTCTATAATTAGTACAAAATACTCTAGTTTTAAAAAGCCTTCACTATAATTTTTTTCAACTTGTACATATTAGAACATGTTAGACTCTATGCAATTCAAGGACAGCTTTAAATCACAAATTATTGTTGTCACAAAGCAGTATCTGATATTTTGGTGTCTAAACGAAAGCAATCACAAATCCTTGCTATTTTAATAAAGTAGAATCTGTTCTAGATTTTTTCATTAATGAGTGTTCTTGTTACCTAGTGCTGCTCTGACAAGAATTATACCACAAATGGGATGGCCTTAACAAACAGGAGTTTATTCTTACAATTTGGAGGCTTTAAGTCCAAGTTCAAAGTGCCAGGCTCTACGGGCTGGGTGAAAGGCCCTCAACCTTGGGGTCCAGCTCTGCCTCCTGCTCCCGGCCTACTGGAGCTAGAGGCATTTCTTCACTCAAACAGCTGCTGGCTGCTGAAGCTGGAAGCCCCAAGGTTGACAAGTAAAAAGGCACAGTCCCGATGTTACCAGACCACATGGCAGGCCAGTAATTCAAGTCCATTGCAAGTCCCAAGGTCAGCAGAGCATGGCAGACTACTGAGCAACAACATGGCTACATGCAGGGTCCAAGCGTGCCATAGGCTAGAGACCATTCCCAAAGGCTTCTCCTTATATACAGGAAGCAGACCACACACCCAAAGGCAGCTACCCAGATGCTTATGGTAGATCCCACCATGGAGTTGATTGCCAGTCTCCTCTTGGGGATTAACTACCACCAGCTGTGCAGCCACTCAACCAGGCCCAGCCAAATTGACACACAAATATAACTACCATAATGAATTATCTAATAATGGATAATGCTTATGTAACTGCAAAAAGGGCAGGGAGGCCAAAGTGATAATTGGAAGTGATAATTCACTCCATTCCTTTATAAGAGCATTATGAGATAGGTCCGAACCTTCAATATTGCCTTTATCTAGAAGAACAAAAAACAAGTACATTAAAACACTGCAGATTGTTTCCAGATCTGGGCTAGAAGTGTAAACTCTAAGGGAGGATTTCTCTCTCTGTCGACTCTAAAGGAAGGTCTTTGCCTCTTCAGTTGCTACTTTCTGGTTCCATGAAGACCTCCACATGTCTTGGCATTTATCTTATCCCATTTCTCCTCTGCTCCTTTGTTTAATTTCTTTTATAACTCAAAAAAGATTCACTCGAGATACATTCTACACACTGATTCTGCCTCAGTAACATAACAAAGACATTCTCATTTCTACAGCATGTTGGAATATTTCTTCTTGGAACGTAATAATCTCCTTTGAGAAAACTTCTCCGTGGACAATTTAATTCTTATTCACACATAAATGACCTGCTCACTAATTCACTTCCTTATTCATGAAAAAGTAGAGAAGCCACAAAAAACCCCATCTCTATTGGTGTAAGTAGGAGAGGAGGCGGATGCTCTACTGCAAATACCTTCCCTGAATGCTCAAAAGAAATGATCATAAAGCCAAGAGCACAGATTCCTAAACAAGCAGATCAAGCTGCCACGTGAAAACCACACTTCTGCCACTTGCAGAGAAGCTAGTTAGGCTCTTGGGCACTCTTCTTACCATCCCCTCTGTGAGATGGCTTCGGAAAGCACCACTGCCAGCAGCCACAAATGCTGCCAGCAGTTGGAAAAGAAAAAAGCTGAAGAGAGTGTTTTCTTCCATCCTGGCCTGGCTAGGATGCTGCTAATATCTTTCTGGAAGCAAACTGAAGGTTCAAGTACCTTCACTAAAATTTTTGGTCTACATTTTAAAGCAAAATACCCTCTGCCAAGATATTCATTGGGGCCATTAGAAAAGTTATTAAGTATTAGGAACTAAGAGATTAAAAAAGGAAGTAATGTCAGATCATGACCTTAGAGCTGATTATGACCTTAGATCATGACTTTTAGGCCTTGAGGTCTGAAACAGCTTTCCTACTCAGCACATCATTCTACAGGTATCTAGGGGCTACTACTTATGTGCTTACTCTACTCCAGTCTTCACCTGACTCATTCCAGCAGGGACCATGGGTAAGCTCCAAAGTAAAGAAATTATTTCTCTGATTTAGTAAAATCTACTACTGTCAAGTCGATTCTGACTCATAGTAATCCTATAGGACACAGTAGATCTGCCCCATAGAATTTCCAAGGCTGTAAATCTTGATCTTTATTTTTGTCAGAGGACCAGTACCTGATGCTTAAACACCTTATTTGAGTTGTTGATCCACATCTCTAAATTCCAGGCCTGCCAACTGCAATAGCCTTTTTCATCCTTCAAAGCTCACAGGCAGGCCTCAGCATCCAGACCTTGCTGTGCACTCATAATCCACTGTTAATTGCATCTTAGTGCTGGTTGTGGGTTTGGTCTTACAGCTATATTCTGGGTTTGGTCTTACTACTATATTCTTTGTTCTCCTTGCAGTCCCTTCAACATGGAAAGTACAGTGTTGTAGGCATGGTAAAGTCTGTTATTCAGTCAGAAATTTGCCCCCCCCACACACACACAGGCTCATATTTACATACTCCTCTAATGCTAGTCCCAGAGAAAGAAGGGCCTTTGCAATGCCAGTGTTTTACAGACAACATAGATGATCACTGAGGCCATTTGAAGTCACTGAGGACTGGAGTAGAAGAAAATGAACAAGTTCAGTTAGGCTTCTCAGTGTACACGCAACTTGTTAATGCTTTTAATATAAATAGGAAACTCATTTAGAAGATATTGTGCAGGTAATATAATTTGTTATTTGTTAAATGACTTCTTTTCTCTGTTGGAAAACTCAAAAATATTATTTTTCCTTATTGATTACCTGTCAGGGAGAAATTTTATTCCTATAAAGACATATGGATTTTTTTAAAAATAATATGCTTTTATGCTGTTTTCAGAGAAAAATATAGAGGTAACTATAGATCTTCTCATTTTTATTCAACACTCATATCTCATTAGAAGGAAAAGTTGTAGGAAAGGAACAAAGTCCTTTTGAAACTTCACGTAACTTTGTGGTCTGTTACAAATCATAATGGCCCTATTTAAAGCAGGAAGCTCCAGGTGATGGCAAGGCATTATCAAGAATGTTACGTGAGCAAAGATAATTTAAAGAAATTCTTAAATAGCTGAATTCATTTTAAATTGCTTTTATGATCTGGTAGGAAGGGAAGCTTTGCTGGGAGGAAGTTGAGAGGGATTTTTCTTATTCTAGAAAATATTTCCCAGGTATTGGAAGAAAAAGGGAAAAAAATGTAGCTTGTCTAGCTTGTCATGTTATTTATAGAAAATACTTATATCTAGATATTTCAACTAGGCCTTTTAAAGAAAGTTTCCTCTGTACAAATTACTCACCAATGCCTGTGCATGGGTAAATTAATTACAATGTTAGACTTCAGAATTTGATTTTTAAAATCAAGTAAAAAATGACACCTTAGAAAATAGAATTTTTATTTTTATCTTAAAGCAAGCTCAGTTTGGAGAAGGCTGTTTACAAATTTTCTTCATTTAATTGGTTTTCTTAATATGAAATAATATTTCCAGAACTAATTAAAATTTCTTTCTAATGAATATTCAAATTATGTTATCTTTGCTATACAGTATATAAATTTTTAAATCATCCATAAATGTAATTATATTTTATACATTCTTAAGAAGTCATATACTGTTATTGATGCCAAACGGGTTGTTTACTTCCTCTTAGGCCATGATTGAAGAAGCTATCACCAGAGCCGAATCTTTCTCAGTGATGTACACACCAATTGCAACAAAAATAAGAGCTGATAAAATAGAAAAAGTAAAAGAAGTTTTCACAAAAACTCACCCTGCATATGTGGATTATATCTACACAGGTAAGATTCAATGTCTTTACGCTATCTATCAGCTGATATTTTATTTCCATTAAAAGAAATACAGGGTCCTTTCTGGTTTGTTTGTTTCTTTTTAGTGGTATGTTGTTTTAATTTGGTGACTTGAAATGGGAAGTTATTTTAAAGTTTTAACCAGTGCTAACTCTGTATGGCTAGCACAATATTCCTTGTGCCTTCATGTTTCTATATTCTGAAAAGAGATGGTAGAACCAAAGAACTCTAAGTTTTAACAAAAGGAAGGAATAATGTCTTAGGTATATAGTGCTGCTATAAAATAAATACTACAAGTAGAAAGTTTCAACAAATAAATTTATATTTTTCACAGTTTGGGAGGCTAGAAGTATAAACTCTAAGGGAGGATTTCTCTCTCTGTGGACTCTAAAGGAAGGTCTTTGCCTCTTCAGCTTTTGCTTTCTGTTTCAGTGGAGACCTCCACAAGTCTTCGCATTTATCTTATCTCATCTCCCTCTGCTCATTTGTTTAATTTCTTTTATAACTCCAGAAAGATTGACCCAAGATACATTCTACACACTCATTCTGCCTCGTTAACATAACAAAGACAACCCATTCTCAAGTGGGATTATAACACAGAGTGGGATATAGCACAGAGGTTAGGATTTACAGCACCTTTTTTGGGGGACTAATACAGTCCATAACAAAAGAAATGTGGTAAATAGTAATCTTTTTTCTTAGGAATCATCAGTTAAATAAGTGATTATAGTAGTCTCTTAAAGATGGAATTTTGTCCAATGCCTGCTATTTCTATTTTCCTTCCAGTAGTTCAGTGATTAAGTGTTCAGCTGCTAACTGAAAGGGTAGCAGTTTTAACCCACCAGCTGCTCTACAAGAGAAAGATGTGGCAGTCTGCTTCTGTAAAGATTACAGCCTTGGAAATCCAATGGGGGCAGTTCTACTCTGTTCTATAGGGATGTAATGAGTTGGAATTGACTCAATGGCAATAGGTTTGGTTTTCTGGATGTGCCAGTTGCTATTTTGAATTAGGCGGAATCTATGATGCCAAATTAAGAATCACTCAACAATGACTATCATGTTCAGCAAAATCCCTAAATACATGCTTCCAATCATACATCCTCCTTTCAAGGTCACCACATTCCTTTTCTCAGGGTTTAGAGGCTGAATCAGTGATTCATATAATTAATAATGTATACCATTATCAATAACTTATAACATACCAGACACTCTAGATCCATTATATTTTGAGATTCCAGTAGTTCATGTAAAGTGATTCCTATTTTGAGATAATCAAACAGAAACTTGAGAAAACAAATAGTTTTTCCAAAGATGCACAACAAATCATTGGTGATAGGGCTGGGGTTCAAATCTGTGTCTTTACCCTTGTACTACATTATGTCCTTGTGATAGGAGCAGAGATGTTACAGGAGCATTAAATTTAGGTCCTATAGATTCCTGGTTTTTCTCTACAGTGCTTCAAGCACTTCAGAGAAATGATATTGGATGAATCAACTAGTGATGATGGCATAGAAATTCCTGAGAGACAATGGGAATTTAGGGCAGAGAAAGGGAAAAGCAGAAAGCTATGCATGCCATAATGACCACTGATGTGCATTTACTTATTTTGAGCATTCTATAGGGAAGTAGGTAAAAATATCTCAGAACTCACATTTACTGCTAGTTGTTTATTCATAATTTCTCTTTGGCTATTTTGAGTGTTTTTAGTTTTATTTTTTTTTGGTAGAAGAAGACTACCAAAAAAAAAAAAAACCAAACTCACTGCAGTGGAGTCGGATCTAACTTGGGTTTCCAAAGTGGTATCTCTATGGAAGTAAATTGTCCAGTCTTCCTTCTGAGGAGTGGCCTGTGGGTTTCAACCATCAGCCTTCTGTTTAGCAGTCAAATGCCTTAGGCACTATGCCACCAAAACTAGAAGCATATAAAAGAAAGCCTGTCTAGTGTCATGGAAAAGTGAGTCCAATTCAGCTATTTCCATTTTTACTTTCAGATTCATTGGTAATAGAGATTCATTGGGGTAATTATCAGTTTGCCAATTCCTCTACTGGTAGGATAAGTTTAGTTATATTTAACCTACTTCATAGGGAAATCATGAAGATTAATTAATACTTAGGAAGCACTATTTTCACGGAGAGTTTAAAAAACAATAATAACATTAATGAGCCAGATTCATGTCTATGTAACTCCATCAAACCTGTTATCAAGATGAATTATGATCTGTTGGCAAGAAAATTCATACTAAAGGATCTTATACTTTGGAAGGAAAGATAATTATAAGTTACTAATGATTGTGTCTATTATTTTATAATTACTAATTGCTAGAGTATGACAACATATGAGAACCTAGAGAGGAAAGATATAGCTTCAGGAGAGGGGAGGGAGTATAGAGAAGGCAGTCTTGAATCTTAAATTTCTTTGAAACTGGTATGGTTCCTTGCTTTGTGGAACTTTGTGCAAAAAGCCTATTGTACTGATGGCATTATATGTCTCTGTTGGAAATAACTAAAGGGTCTTCCCCAAAGCCATTGCTAGAATGATGGAGAAACCACTATTACTTGCTGTATGTGCAGTGATAAAGATATGGCATTTTTTTCTCAACAATTTCCCAGGTATGTAAGGCACATGTATGGGAAGAGGATAAGTCAAGTGTTATCTTTAACATTTAGACATGAGAGATAGTAGCTAGAAGTATTTTGGATTAAATTGTTTCCCAAAAAAGTATATGTTGACATCCTAACCCTTCTACCTGTATATGTGATGCTGTCTAGAAATAAGATTTTTATTATATTAATGAGGCCATATAAGAGTAGAGAGGGTCCTAAACCTAATCACTTTTGAGTTATAAAGAATGTTGCATAGACACAAAAACACATACAGGGGAAAGGAGATAACAAGGAACACCATGGAACACCAAGGAAAGTCCACAGAACTCCCAGGACAATTTACAAAGAAGGATCCCCTCTAGAGCCAAGCCCTGAATTCAGACTGTTTACATAACTGTTAGAAAATAAATTTTATTCTTTAAAGTCACTCATTTGTGGTAGTTCCATTATGGAAACAGTAGGTAATTGAGACAGGCAGTTACAGAGAAAGAGAAAGATGTGGCCAGGAAGAATAGCTACCTTTTTTGTTGGTGTTTCCTAAAACCAAGATTCTCCCTTTCTAAGTGATGTACATAAAATTTAATAAGCTTCTATCCTGCCAACAATTTGTTTAATTAATTATTTCAACAAATATTCATGCAGTGTGTGTGACTGAGCAGTCACAGTAGATGTGTGCAAACATATCTCGCTATTTTTTTTTTTTTTTTACCTTACCATACTCTGCTTTGGTTTTCCAGAGCTAACAATGTATCCTGTCCCATTGCAGAGGACTCAGTACCATCCAATCATTTCTAAAATTTATTCTCTCTCTAGTAATTAATCAAATTCAACAGCTTCCTTCCTCTTTTTATGGATTTTCCTTCTGTTCTTGGTCTGATTTCAACTTTCTTCAACCTCAAGTGTACTCAATGTACAAGGGAACAGTGGACATGTGAAGGAGAAGTCCTCCTCCTAAGTCTGGTACTCCTGTGATCTCATGGCTAGTACAACTAGAAATCAGCTCTGTTGACATGGATAGGACCTAATATGCATACAGCACATGTGGTACACACAATTTATATGGCACATTAGGTGACCCAAGGAAATCTGGATGGGTTCCCCACTCTGCCTCTTGATGTAGATGCTCCTTCAGAAGTACAACAACCACCCCCATTCCACAAGTTGGACCAAAAACTGACTTTCTTTGAGGTTCCTTCTCCCTGCTGGAAAGCTGGCTATGACCTCCAGCGAACTCAAGTTCTTCCTTTAAAAGTCCCCTCAACTCCACAGAAGACTGGAAGGAGCCTTGGTCTGCTCTCCAACTTGCTATGTTGCTCTGCCATTTCTCTTTTTTTCTTTCTTTATATTCTAGCATCCTAGGATACTCAGAACAAGAAGTAGATCCTTAGTTGAGACAGATTATTTGTTTGTTTATGTGTTTATCAGCAGAAATTTATTGAGAGTATGTATTTCATACATTCATTATTCCAGATTCTGAGAATACAGCAATGAATGAGATAGACAAAGTCCCTGTCATCATGGGGATTAGATTCTAGTGGGAAGAAAATCAGACAGATGCATAAACAAATGAATATGTTAGGTAGTTTCAGTTATTAGTTTCAGTTATCAATACCCTACCAAAAAATAAATAAATAAATAAAGTAAGTAAGTAAGTAACTGGAAGACAGGGCAGAACAACTTTAAATAAGCTGAGAAGGTGACATTTGATCTGAGATATAAATGAAGAAATGATATAGTCACTGCTTTCCTAGAAATAGAAAAATGCAGGGAGAAAAACTGTTACACAGTTAATTTTGTGCAATTGTTGTGTTAAAAGGAAAATTTAATGATGATATGATAACATAGACTCAAACAAGATGGGGAGAGGGTTACAAAAAGCTTTGGTGAGGAAGTGTCTCTTAAAGTACATCTGAACGAGAGTTCCTGTAGAAAACCATAAAAGGGTATATAGACCTAGGAACAGATTTTCTGGCAGAAGTAACACTACAAAGTGGAAGACAAAGACAGGTACATGGGAGGTACAGACAAGGAAGAACAAGGATGAACCCTTTTGAACATATAGTACTGTGTTGTCAGTGATGGCAAGCATTGATCTATGGTGGATAGATGGGTGAACAGGCTGAACGATCAGGTATGTCTAGGCAGGGGGGAGTGTGCTCATGATCATGTATAAGGTTGGCAGACAATGTTCCTACATGTGTATTTGTAGGTGCTGTAGGAATATCCAGGTTTATAGTAGAGCTGACAAAGGGCAAGGTTGTAGTGGCTTCTTGGCTCAGCCAGCTACCCTGAGGGAGTGAGTAGTTGGACCTGCAAGCTCAGGATCATGGTTGCAGGGGGAGTCAACCTCAAATGACGTAACATACTACAAAAAGACATTGTTCTACA